ACGGATCAAGGTTCCCATTCCTGCTGATTTGATTGCAGTAAGTGAATCATTTATAGGTTTTGTCTTACCTCCTTGTATGATTTACCTTTTCTCACTTTCTGAATCTATCCATGACAACAACACAGGTTTCAGTATTTTTTCTTTTTTTTTTCTCTCTCTCTCTCTTTTCTTTTTTGCTCAAATCCTTCCTTCCTTCCTTTTTCCCTTCCTTCCTTAGTTCCTTACGTCTTTCTGTCTTGCAAATACTACACTAATCCTCTCCCTCTTCTTCCCCCCCGTGATAGGTTGTCTTGGGAACAGTAATCACATATTCAGTCGAGACTCACAAGAAATATGATGTAGCAGTATTGGGACACATACCAAAAGGGTAAGTTCTCAGTTGAGTTTGCCATCAGAAGCTTTGTCACGAATTTGCGTAAGTATTGTGCTGGCTTCCTGTTACATATAAAGAAAATGATTTTTCTTTCGAGCGAAACCAACGAAAGAGGATTAGATAATAAACTGGAACAAACGTGGGAAAGAACCTGACAAAGCAAACGAAACGAAAAACAAACAAAAACTTACGAAAAAGAATAAAGAGTAAACCAAACGAAAAGGCAACGTAAAAAGTAAGACAAAAGAAAAACGCAATACAGTACAAAAAAGCATGACGGTTGGGGGGTTTATTTATTTTTAATTTAAATCTTAATTTTAAACTAGGATGCCCCCAATAACGCTACCCAAGCTTAGCCTGATGGCCAACATCATAACAGACGCGTTTGTCATTGGTGTCGTCATCTTCGCTACGAATATATCCATGGCAAAGATGTTTGCCAAAAGAAATAATTATAAAGTGGACGCCAATCAGGTAACCATTTGTTTTAGGAACATTGTTAGGTTAAAAGTCTTAAACCTTCAAATTTTAACAAAACTTGAAATAGCCTCTCGACTGATCAAAGTTTGGGCAGATCAAACCCTGAAACGACCTCTGTCCCTGATCAAAGTCAGGACACGACTAGCTCACAGATCAAACCCTGAAACGACCTCTGGGCTGATCAAAGTCAGGTCACAGCTAACTCATAGATAGAACCCTGAAACAAACTCTGGGCTGATCAAAGTCAGGACACGGCTAACTCACAGATCAAACCCTTAAACAAGCTCTAGGCTGATCTAAGTCAGGGCTTGGTTAACTCACAGATCAAACCCTGAAACTAGCTCTGGGCTGATCAAAGTCAGGGCACGGGTAACTCACAGATCAAACCCTGAAACTAGCTCTGGGCTGATCTAAGTCAGGGCGTGGCTAATATATTTAATTGAAATTTAGCTTGTTTGGTTTTGTACCGTACAGTACAGGTACAGTAGGAAAACCGGAGAATCCAGAGAAAAAAATATCAAATCGATGGAGAGATTAAAGGCCTTTGTATAGAGCTAAACACGCTTCTCACATGTCATACAGTGTCTAGAAATCGAACCGGAGACCCTTGAGGTGAGAAACGAGCACCCTACCGATACACCACCTTTAAGTCACACATTTAGCAGCCCCCTGATCCCAAAATACTTTCAAGGAACTTTTAAATGCATGTATTATAATATTTTTCTTTTAGGAATTAATCGCATATGGATTTGTAAATATGATTGGATCATTTTTTTCGTGTTTTCCCGTCAGCGGGTCTTTATCACGTTCKGCTGTCCAAGAAACTTTAGCCAAAACTTTAGTAAGTACATATATGAAAAAATAATTAAAACAAATCCCTGACAAATGATAATTCCGAGCATTCGGCAACGTTTTTATTGGGGAAAAAGTACCTGAATCTAGAGCATTGCGACATTTTAGTTGCTTTAACGTCGATCAAAGAGATAATGCATTCATCTCGGAAGTGAGCTGCTCTTGAAACATTTTATGGGCTTCAACGTCACTCACAGAGATAATTTATTCATTCCACATGAATTTTGAACCAATTTGTGAGCTTCAAATCAAAAGTGCCAACGTTTGCGTTTTCTCTCAGAAAGGAGTAAAGAAATGGCTCAGAAAATTAGGACTTATTATTCTAAAACTGGTTCATGAGAAATTGGAGAGGAGAATGGAGATTTTCCTTGAGAAAAAAATATATTTATCTAAAGTGAGATCTTTAAACATTTTAGTGGCTTGAACGTCACTCACAGAGATAATTTATTCATCACATATGAATTTT